AGTCTGAGACACATCTATCTATTTCCAAGACGTCCCCAGTGGCTCCGTACTCGCTCTTGCGTTTCCCCGGCAGATGTTTGTCCCCTCCCAGCTCCCGTCCCGTGGCATTCCCTGGCGCCGCGTTCACAAACTCGCATTAGCCATTCCTTAAGATTGTGCTCATTACCGACCACGGCCTTTTGCCAGTGACCTAAATGTCCTCGCTCCGGCTGAGGGCCTGCTCTGGATCCACATGCGACCAAAACATATTTTTAAAACACGGCTTCGATTTGAGGATTTGAAAAGCGTTCTTGAAATTAACACGATTCTGGAGAACGACGTTAAGTGAAGGATGTAGCCGGGTTTCGGCGAGGGACACGGAAGGACTTTTGAGTGGACAGCCAAGACACATGAGTTAAATTGGTCTGATCCTGTATGTATACTGAGGCAGGAGATGTGTGTATGTATACTGAGGCAGGAGAGGTGTGTATGTATACTGAGGCAGGAGATGTGTGTATGTATACTGAGGCAGGAGATGTGTGTATGTATACTGAGGCAGGAGAGGTGTGTATGTATACTGAGGCAGGAGATGTGTGTATGTATACTGAGGCAGGAGATGTGTGTATGTATACTGAGGCAGATGTGTGTATGTATACTGAGGCAGGAGAGGTGTGTATGTATACTGAGGCAGGAGAGGTGTGTATGTATACTGAGACTATAGAGAGGTGTGTATGTATACTGAGGCAGGAGAGGTGTGTATGTATACTGAGGCTATAGAGCGGTGTGTATGTATACTGAGGCAGGAGATGTGTGTATGTATACTGAGGCAGGAGAGGTGTGTATGTATACTGAGGCAGGAGAGGTGTGTATGTATACTGAGACTATAGAGCGGTGTGTATGTATACTGAGGCAGGAGATGTGTGTATGTATACTGAGGCAGGAGAGGTGTGTATGTATACTGAGGCAGGAGAGGTGTGTATGTATACTGAGACTATAGAGCGGTGTGTATGTATACTGAGGCAGGAGATGTGTGTATGTATACTGAGGCAGGAGAGGTGTGTATGCATACTGAGGCTATAGAGAGGTGTGTATGTATACTGAGGCAGGAGAGGTGTGTATGTATACTGAGGCTATAGAGAGGTGTGTATGTATACTGAGGCTATAGAGAGGTGTGTGTGTATACTGAGGCAGGAGAGGTGTGTATGTATACTGAGGCAGGAGATGTGTGTATGTATACTGAGGCAGGAGAGGTGTGTATGTATACTGAGGCAGGAGAGGTGTGTATGTATACTGAGGCAGGAGATGTGTGTATGTATACTGAGGCAGGAGAGGTGTGTATGTATACTGAGGCAGGAGAGGTGTGTATGTATACTGAGGCTATAGAGAGGTGTGTATGTATACTGAGGCTATAGAGAGGTGTGTATGTATACTGAGGCTATAGAGCGGTGTGTATGTATACTGAGGCAGGAGATGTGTGTATGTATACTGAGGCAGGAGAGGTGTGTATGCATACTGAGGCTATAGAGAGGTGTGTATGTATACTGAGGCAGGAGAGGTGTGTATGTATACTGAGGCTATAGAGAGGTGTGTATGTATACTGAGGCTATAGAGAGGTGTGTGTGTATACTGAGGCAGGAGAGGTGTGTATGTATACTGAGGCAGGAGAGGTGTGTATGTATACTGAGGCTAAAGACATGTGTGTATGTAGACTGAGAATATAGAGAGGTGTGTATGTATACTGAGGCTATAGAGAGGTGTGTATGTATACTGAGGCAGGAGAGGTGTGTATGTATACTGAGGCAAGAGAGAGGTGTGTATGTATACTGAGGCAGGAGAGGTGTGTATGTATACTGAGGCTAAAGACATGTGTGTATGTAGACTGAGAATATAGAGAGGTGTGTATGTATACTGAGGCTATAGAGAGGTGTGTATGTATACTGAGGCAGGAGAGGTGTGTATGTATACTGAGGCAAGAGAGAGGTGTGTATGTATACTGAGACTATAGAGAGGTGTGTATGTATACTGAGGCAGGAGATGTGTGTATGTATACTGAGGCTATAGAGAGGTGTGTATGTATACTGAGGCTATAGAGAGGTGTGTATGTATCCTGAGACTATAGAGAGGTATGTATGTATACTGAGGCTATCAAGAGGTGTGTATGTATACTGAGGCAGGAGAAGTGTGTATGTATACTGAGGCAGGAGAGAGGTGTGTATGTATACTGCGACTATAGAGAGGTGTGTGTGTTTACTGAGACTATAGAGAGGTGTGTATGTATACTGAGACTATAGAGAGGTGTGTATGTATACTGAGGCAGGAGAGGTGTGTGTGTTTACTGAGACTATAGAGAGGTGTGTATGTATACTGAGGCTATAGAGAGGTGTGTATGTATACTGAGGCTATAGAGAGGTGTGTATGTATACTGAGACTATAGAGAGGTGTGTATGTATACTGAGGCAGGAGAGGTGTGTATGTATACTGAGGCAGGAGAGGTGTGTATGTATACTAAGGCAGGAGAAGTGTGTATGTATACTGAGGCAGGAGAGGTGTGTATGTATACCGAGGCTATAGAGAGGTGTGTATGTATACTGAGGTTATAGAGAGGTGTGTGTGTTTACTGAGACTATAGAGAGGTGTGTATGTATACTGAGGCAGGAGAGGTGTGTATGTATACTGAGGCTATAGAGAGGTGTGTATGTATACTGAGGCAGGAGAGGTGTGTATGTATACTGAGGCTATAGAGAGGTGTGTATGTATATTGAGACTATAGAGAGGTGTGTATGTATACTGAGGCAGGAGAGGTGTGTATGTATACTGAGGCAGGAGAGGTGTGTATGTATACTGAGGCAGGAGAAGTGTGTATGTATACTAAGGCAGGAGATGTGTGTATGTATACTGAGACTATAGAGAGGTGTGTATGAATACTGAGGCTATAGAGAGGTGTGTGTGTTTACTGAGACTATAGAGAGGTGTGTATGTATACTGAGGCAGGAGAGGTGTGTATGTATACTGAGGCAGGAGAGGTGTGTATGTATACTGAGGCTATAGAGAGGTGTGTATGTATACTGAGGCAGGAGAGGTGTGTATGTATACTGAGGCTATAGAGAGGTGTGTATGTATACTGAGGCAGGAGAGGTGTGTATGTATACTGAGGCAGGAGAGGTGTGTATGTATACTGAGGCTATAGAGAGGTGTGTATGTATACTGAGGCAGGAGAGGTGTGTATGTATACTGAGGCTATAGAGAGGTGTGTATGTATACTGAGGCAGGAGAGGTGTGTATGTATACTGAGGCAGGAGAGGTGTGTATGTATACTGAGGCAGGAGAGGTGTGTATGTATACTGAGGCTATAGAGAGGTGTGTATGTATACTGAGGCAGGAGAGGTGTGTATGTATACTGAGGCAGGAGAGGTGTGTATGTATACTGAGGCTAAAGAGATGTGTGTATGTATACTGAGGCTATAGAGAGGTGTGTATGTATACTGAGGCAGGAGAGGTGTGTATGTATACTGAGACTATAGATGGGTCTGAGGTAGTATTTATGCTTCCAATTAATGAAAGCCAACAAACCATGACGACATTATAATAATTTGTCGTTCTGATCAATTACACGAGTAAAAGGCTGTGTTTAGAAACGTCTCGTCCAATCACAGGAAATGATCCCAGATTTCCCTTGTTCATTATTCCCACTTCATTAGTAAATCAAATTGCAAAATAATACGATTATCACATGTGTGTAAGAAATCATATCATTTCAATTTCTCCTCACATTGTTGCTTCCACACTCCCTGACTCCCACAGGCGCTAACTTTCTGGATTTTTTGTTCCTAATTTGAGATAATTGTAGAACTGTGTGTATTTTGTATTTATGTGTGTGTGTGTGTGTATCATTCATTTATTCATTCATTTTCAACCCCTTTATTAGTCAATTTCTGGGTTGGCGGAATACTCATAGGACCAGTGTGTGTATGTATTCAGTATATATGTGCCTCCGGTCTCTCTCTGGTTTCTCTCTCCGGTCTCTCTCTGGTCTTATTCTGGTCTCTCTCTGGTCTCTCTCTGGTTTCTCTCTCCGGTCTCTTTCTGGTCTTATTCTGGACTCTCTCTGGTCTCTCTCTGGTTTCTCTCTCCGGTCTCTTTCTGGTCTTATTCTGGTCTCTCTCTGGTTTCTCTCTCCGGTCTCTTTCTGATCTTATTCTGGTCTCTCTCTGGTCTCTCTCTGGTTTCTCTCTGGTTTCTCTCTCCGGTCTCTTTCTGATCTTATTCTGGTCTCTCTCTGGTCTCTCTCTGGTTTCTCTCTGGTTTCTCTCTCCGGTCTCTTTCTGGTCTTATTCTGGTCTCTCTCTGGTCTCTCTCGCTCTAGTTTCTCTCTGGGCTTTATGCTATCTCTCTCTCTCGCTCTCTCTGGTCTCTCTCTGTGACAAAAGTCATTCAATCATTCATATTTATTCATTCATCACATAATTTTACAGGTATGAAGAAACCGGAGCACCTGGAGGAAACCTACACGGACAAAGGGAGAACATAAGGCCAGGTCTGGAGGTGGAATTGGATAAGTTTGTTTGTTTGTCACTGAACTCTCAACTCTCTGAAAAAGAACTAAGGATTGTGACAAAACTCCACAAAAGCATGACTTTCTTTTATAGAGTAGCTCAGACTAGAGCCATTTCTCCTCCCCAACTTCTGGGACTAGGCCTCAAGGAAGACCCAGGACCCAGGACTGTGTCTCTCAGCTGGAGAGTCTGTGTCTCTCAGGCCTGGGAACTACCTCCAAATGAGCTGGAGGAAGCATGTGTGTGGAGAGAGACTGCTGCTGCGACCCGGCAATGGATAAAGCGGAAGAAAATGAATGGAAGGAGCGACATATGCCATACATCATAGCCCCACAGCACAATAAACAGAGTATCTTTTAACTTTTACTCCTGTCCCTTTCTCTTTGAAGGATCAGCAAACGGAGCAGTGTCCAATCTCTTCCTGGTTTTGTTGAGTGAAGTGAGCTGTGATTGGCTGAAGCCTCGTACCTTTGCTGCTGTTGTTTTGCTGGTGGCCCGAGCTGGAGGACAGGTCTTCAGGAACGGCCATAGGTTCCTCTGGCTCCTCTGACGTGTCGTTCTGAGGAGGACTTTCCCGACCTAAAGACACACAACACATGAGGGATATTCTACTGTCGTGTATATCCAGTTTTATTTTGAAACTTGCTAGCCCTGTCTTCCTTAGCTCTACTTCCTGTTTTGTGATTAGCTGCCCCGCCCTCATGTGTCTCACCTGTGTCTTGTTGATCTTATGTATTTAAACCCTGTGTATTCCTTCACTCCTTGTGTGTCCTTTTTGTTACTTTTCAGGTTGTTTTCACTGGAATTTTCGTTTTGTTTTACTTTTATCAAATCGTTTTTTGCAGTTCTGTGTTTTCTTTTTGCTACAATGAAAAATTCAGCCTGGGCTTCATGAAACCAGAGATGAGGCCTCCGCTACATCCAGATTCTGACATACACCTGAAATTCTGCCTCAGTCCCTGTGCTCCTCAGAGTCCCAGTAAGAGGCCAGTCCCTGTGCTGCTCAGAGTCCCAGTAAGAGGCCAGTCCCTGTGCTGCTCAGAGTCCCAGTAAGAGGCCAGTCCCTGTGCTGCTCAGAGTCCCAGTAAGAGGCCAGTCCCTGTGCTCCAACATGTCAAAGATGCATTTTGGAGTAGGGCCATGGAGAGACTACTCTGGGCTATTCTCTGAGCCAGTGCGGGGACCAGACCCATGGACTTGTAATATCTGGTTAATTAACATATTTTATAATTATTCAAATATGTAATATATGCAGAAATATGTTTTTATTTTTATCTAGCTGATGCTGTATATATGAAACTAAAAGCTATTTACTGCAGTTTTAACTTCATTAACATCTATACTGTTGGTGTGTTGCTCTAACTGTGTGAGTATATCCTGGATTACTGGGTCCTAGTGCCCCCTCTTACACATATAATAAAGATTTACCCATGTTCCCAACTGCAGCAGCTCTGGTGATGACATGTAAGTGATCTGTGAGACGCCGGGACAGCCGTGAGAGCGTCCGATTCAAAGAGAGTAATCTAAATACACTTTCAACTTCAAACCCCAATCTAAGTCACGGCTGCGTGGCTCCGTCTGCATTAACTTTTGGGTCGTTCATTTGGTCTTTTGTGCGTATTTTGTGGAGTGTGCGTGTCTCAATCTCTCACCAGGCAGCGGGGCCATGTCCTGGGCCTCTTCTGTCTCCATGCGGTGCAAGTATTCTGGGGACGAGACGGAAGAGAAGTTTAATCTACGAGCACAAACATTAGACTATCAAATGGTTTGCCTGTGGCTTTGACCCTGAAGCAGAGACAGAGACAGAGAGGCAGAGACAGAGACAGAGACAGAGAGAGAGACAGAGAGACAGAGACAGAGAGAGAGGCAGAGGCAGACGCAGAGACAGAGACAGAGACAGAGAGAGAGGCAGAGGCAGAGGCAGAGAGAGAGGCAGAGGCAGAGGCAGAGGCAGAGACAGAGACAGATACACAGAGACAGAGAGAGAGAGGCAGAGACAGAGAGAGAGACAGAGGCAGAGACAGAGACACAGAGACAGACACAGAGACAGAGAGAGAGGCAGAGGCAGAGGCAGAGAGAGAGGCAGAGGCAGAGGCAGAGACAGAGGCAGAGGCAGAGGCAGAGGCATAGACAGAGGCAGAGGCAGAGGCAGAGGCAGAGGCATAGACAGAGAGAGAGGCAGAGGCAGAGGCATAGACAGAGAGAGAGGCAGAGACAGAGGCAGAGACACAGAGGCAGAGGCAGAGGCAGAGAGACAGAGAGAGAAACAGAGACAGAGACAGAGAGACAGAGGCAGAGGCAGAGACACAGAGGCAGAGAGACAGAGAGAGAAACAGAGACAGAGACAGAGAGACAGAGGCAGAGGCAGAGAGATAGAGAGAGAGAGAGGGGCAGGGGCAGAGTCAGAGGTAGAGCCAGAGACAGAGAGAGAAGCAGAGACAGAGAGAGAGAGAGAGAGAGAGGCAGAGTCAGAGAGAGAGAGAGAGACAGAGGCAGAGAGAGACAGAGAGAGGCAGAAGCTGAGAGAGAGAGAGAGACAGAGGCAGAGAGAGAAGCAGAGACAGAGAGAGAGAGAGAGAGAGAGGCAGAGTCAGAGAGAGAGAGAGAGACAGAGGCAGAGAGAGACAGAGAGAGGCAGAAGCTGAGAGAGAGAGAGAGACAGAGGCAGAGAGAGACAGAGAGAGGCAGAGGCAGAGAGAGAGAGAGACAGAGAGAGAGAGACAGAGGCAGAGAGAGAACAGAGAGAGGCAGAGGCCGAGAGAGAGAGAAAGAGACACAGAGAGAGAGGCAGAGGCAGAGAGAGAGAGAGAGCCAGAGAGAGAGACATGGATAGAGAGACATGGAGATACTTGTGCACAAACAGAGCTGCTTTTAGTCTATTCTCTGAGGCGCAGAAGCAGAGAACTGGGGAACTGGACTAATGTGATGGTACTTCCTGTTTTCAGTCAGGACTCGAGCTGCAGTGTTTTTTTTTACTGGAGATGATGCAGGATAATAATAGTCATGTATCTGTCTTTTAGCTTGTTCATTAGCTTGTTTTATTTATGTACTTGTCTTGCAAACACTGGGGACTTTTGCACATGTATTTATCCAATGTGGTTTTACTGCAAACGCAAATGAACTGAAACTGAATATCCCGAATCCGTTTCAAAGTGTTAGTCTTTTGAGCAATAGTTTATTTTTTCCCGAGTTACCCGAGTGTTAAATCATCACAATAGTAAAGAATCATACAGTATCTCACATTTCCAACTCTTCGGACAAAACCAGCTACAACAAAAACACCCCAAAATCCTGGACAGATACACACGGCGTACATCCTCTGACACAGACTCCCAGCGCAGACATAAGTTTAATCACAGACAACATCTCTCGGCTCTCAAAGCGACAGCCCCTGAACCCCACGCACCCCCAGAGATACTTCCCCTTTCCGACAATTTCATTACAACTTTGACACAGCCTGGCGCGCTGGTTGAGAGGGCCGCGACAATACGGGGCCTATCACTGCACATTTGTTATTTATTGTTAATTCCCCGGCCGCGTAATCATCCCAAAATGCAAAGTGACTGCGGCAAAATTAAGTGGAAAATGAAGATGGCCCCGGAGGTCGAGGAGAAGCGGAGGAGAAGGGGCGGCCGGTGATTGGAGGCTGTGTTCGGGCTAATTTGCTGAGCATGCATGGATGGGTCCGAAGAGCAGAGGAGGAGGAAGAAGAGACAGCAGCGGGAGAGAGAGGAGGTCAAGAGGGGAGAGAGGAGGAGAGGAAGGGAGAGAGGTGAAGAGGAGGGGAGAGAGGAGGAGAGGAAGGGAGAGAGAGCAGGTGAGAGAAGGAGAGGGAAGAGGAGAGAGAAATGCATGGCTGGGTCCAGAGAGCAGAGGAGGAGGAAGGCGAGACAGCAGCAGGAGAGAGAAGGAGGTGAAGGAAGAGAGGAGGAGAGAGAAGGAGATTGGTGGAGAGAGGAAGGGCGCGAGAGGAGGAGAGGAAGGGAGGGAGAGGAGGACAGAGAGATGCCTGACTGGGTCCGGAGAGCAGAGGAGCAGGAAGGAGGGTTAGCAGCAGGCGAGAGAAGGAGAGAGGAGGAGAGAGAGGGAGAGAAGAGGTGAAGGTGGAGAGAGGAAGAGAGAGAAGGTGAGAGAGGGGGAGGAAGGTGAGACAGCAGCAGGAGAGAGAAGGAGAGAGGAGAGGAGGAAGGGTGAGAAGGAGAGAGAGGTGGACAGAGGAAGAGAGAGGAGGAGAGAGGGGGAGAGAGGGGGAGAAAGGCGAGATAGCAGCATGAGAGAAAAGGAGAGAGGACACACACTCTCATGCTTACACACACATATACACACAAACACAATATGATGAGAGTGAAGTGTCTTGCCTAAGGACACCACAACAGTTTGGCACCGGATGTTCCCAGAGGTCTCCCATCACAGCACTAACCAGTCCCTGTCCTGCTTAGCTTCAGAGGTCTGACAAACTGTATTTGTATATTTCACCAAAAAACTCAATGAAACAAACTTTCTTCTGCATAAAGAAGAAACTGCAGAAAAAGAAAGAGAGATAGATAGATAGATAGATAGATAGATAGATAGATAGATAGATATAGATAGAGAGATAGATAGAGTGATAGATAGATAGATAGAGCGATAGATAAATAGATAGATAGAGCGATAGATAGATAGCGCGATAGATAGATAGATAGAGCGATAGATAGATAGAGAGATAGATAGAGAGATAGATAGATAGATAGATAGAGTGATAGATAGATAGATAGAGTGATAGATAGAGAGATAGATAGATAGATAGATAGATAGAGTGATAGATAGATAGATAGAGTGATAGATAGATAGATAGAGCGATAGATAGATAGATAGATAGAGTGATAGATAGATAGATAGATAGAGTGATAGATAGATAGATAGAGTGATAGATAGATAGATAGAGCGATAGATAGATAGATAGATAGAGCGATAGATAGATAGATAGATAGATAGAGTGATAGATAGATAGATAGATAGAGTGATAGATAGATAGATAGAGTGATAGATAGATAGATAGAGCGATAGATAGATAGATAGATACTGTAGATAGAGCGATAGATAGATAGAGAGATAGATGGATAGATAGAGAGACAGATAGATAGAGAGATAGATAGATAGAGAGATAGATAGATGGATAGATAGAGAGATAGATAGATGGATAGATAGATAGATGGATAGATAGATAGAGAGATAGATAGATGGATAGATAGATAGATAGATAGAGAGATAGATAGATGGATAGATAGATGCCTTATTCCAACTAAAACCAGTTGTAATAAACTCAAAGCCAAAGTCAAAGGTTTAAATATGTTTGAAGCTAAAAATGACCAAATATGAAGCACACTTTGTGTTTTTAAGTTCAGTCCAGATCTTTCCACATCGAGACCCTCTGAAAATAGGCCGAGGACTAAGTTTCCTCTGGTTTCTCCGCGTCCAGCTCTGCTCCTGAGACTGGAGACGCATGAATAATGGATGTGTAGAGCCTCCAGCAGATGGGACGCACTCTCTGCCCCGAAAATCAGCCTCTTCAGGGGGTCCGGGGGGTCTGGCCTGTCCAAGACCCAACCAGGACCCAACCAGGGACCAGGGACCAGCCAGGGACCAGCCAGGGACCAGCCAGGGACCAGTCAGGGACCAGCCAGGGATCAGCCAGGGACCAGCCAGGGACCAGCCAGGGACCAGTCAGGGACCAGCCAGGGATCAGCCAGGGACCAGCCAGAGATCAGGGACCAGCCAGAGACCAGGGACCAGCCAGAGACCAGGGACCAGCCTGGCACCAGCCAGGGACCAGCCAGGTACAGTAGACCAGGCAGGGACCAGCCAAAGAGAAACCGGTTTGGTCTCCTGAACTTTGTGAATATTTCTTTCTTATATTTCATGAACTTAAATTTTTAAAGATGACATTTTCTACCCATTTCCTCCCACAGGAGTCATTTTGACAGCTCCAAACATGTGTGCTTTAGCATTTACCATTTCTGTGAAGGTAAAAATACTTAAATAGACTTGATGAAAAACTGAACAATTTTGGGGCTAGTATCTCAGAATTTCATTGGTTTGAGTAAAAGCAGTCAAAATGGCGCTATGTGTTTCTATCGTTGCATTTCCCGTGTTTGAGAAGTTTGATTCTCTGATCTGTGTCGGCGAATCTACAACTTAGTAAAGTCCTCTTCGTGATAACTGCTGTAGTGATTTAGGGCGATACAAAAAGACATTGAAATGGTTTGAATTGAACGTATTTTTAACCTGCCTCTGTTTCCTACAAGACCACAGCAGAAGTCCACCCAGAGCTGCCCCTAGTGGTGAGATGGCAGCGGTGCGTCTGTTTACAGCCTGGAGGTGAGCAAACTGGGCCACTGTGGATCTTGGAGCGCTGGGTTGGGGGTTAGATTCCTCTGTTTTCTGGAGCAGCTCTGTGTGTTGGAGCGGGTTTCTCACACACAGGTTTGTCCTAAAGCCACAGACGTTCAACTGAAGGGAACAGATGCTATCGCTGCACATGTGCGGCGGGGACTGGGTGAACCGGAAGAAGAGCAGTTGTTTGGTTTTTAATACAGCTGTTTCAGGCAGCTATTTCTCAAAAGCCTCGAACCAAAGAACATCTGTGACAAAAGAGCCATATGAACCAAGGAGGACTCTGAGGAGCACAGGGACTGGCCTCCTGCTGGGACTCTGAGGAGCACAGGGACTGGCCTCCTGCTGGGACTCTGAGGAGCACAGGGACTGGCCTCCTGCTGGGACTCTGAGGAGCACAGGGACGGGTCTCCTGCTGGGACTCTGAGGAGCACAGGGACTGTTTATCCAGTCCCTCTTGGTCCAGGTTTAGGTCCAGGCTGAGCTGGTACTAGAGTGTTCTAACCCACTAAACATCCGACGTCCACTCAACCTCCAGATCACGTCAATATCGCGTCGGTCGGTCGTGACCTTTTATTTACGTCCAAACGACGTCTGTGCAAGGTGCGCATCTGGACGTAAAACAATGACCTCCCATATACGTGGATATGACGTTCAATCCCGACCTCCCCTAGACGTGGAAAACAGGTCATCGGCCGACCGACGCAGTACGTCTTGATCTAGCAATACAATATAAAGGCTGTGAAGCAATATAAGTGAACCTAAAGGTAGTGTAGTGGTTAAGCAAACGTGTGCAGTCTTGGTTACGTGGGTTCGAGCCCACGTGTGTGCATTATTATCTTTATATATTTGTTTTGATTTTTAACGAACAATTTTTTCCTGTTTGGTTAAAGACTAATAAACACTCAACATAGGATTACGTAGTGGCTAATAATAAAACTTGTGAATGTATGCATTTGTTGTGCTAACAATCTCAAGTTTGCAAATAAGGGGTGAGCACTTGAGATTTTATGCAAATGCATGGGTTCACAAGTTTTATTATTAGCCACTACATAATCTTATGTTGAGTGTTTATTCGTTTTTAACCAAACAGAAAAATTGTTCGCTAAAAAGTGAAAAGTCAAAAGTTTTCCGACGGGGATTTGAACCCGCGTCGTTGCGACTGAAGTCTCATTACGCAACCGCTACACCACGGCCAGGCATTTCTTCTGACTACCGTGAAAAAATAATAGATAACACCCTAAACAACCGACGCACACTTATGCGCCGCGCGAGTATAACTTATAACTTTACAGCCTGACATGTGAGTCGCTCGGTCGAGGACCTGTTTTCCACGTCTAAACGACGTAAGGTGTGCATCTGGACGTAAAGCAATGTCTTCCCAGACGTTGATATGACGTTGAATCTGTACCTCTGTCGCTGCCCTGCTTTATTTACTTGGAATCATCCTCTCTAGTAAGTACACAGTCTGCACAGTTTTTAGATATAGATGTATCATTTCCACATTGAAAAGAGTTGGAGACAGAAAGTAAGTTGTTTTCTCACGTATACGTGGATTTTGTTAAGTATATTTTGTATATTATCTGTATTTTGAATTGCCAGTGCATGAATCTATAATAATAACGGCTGGCACTGCTCAGCTGAAAGGGAGACACCTTTTTTTAGTTTTTAAGTTAAAGTTTAAAATATGATATTGTTTTTCATATTTCAAACTATTTTTAACACATTAGAATTCTTAGGTTAGACTGTCCAACAAAGTATGTGTTAAAAAAGGTTAAGATTCTTGAGGTTAAGATTCTTGAGTTACTGTATATTTCACAATGGTTTATAAACTGCAAAAAGACAACAGTACTTAGTAAACTAAGTTTAAAAACAGGGAGATCAGCTTTAATATTTGGGACACTCCCATCATTTAGACACCTGTGATGTCATCAGTTGGAGTTGAGTTCAGGTGTGGGACCATGTGGGACCATAGGAGCACACAGATGTTACCTGCTGCAGACAGAGAGTTTAATGTTCATGTATTGCTTTGTTTAATAAATTGATTTAATGTCTTCCCAGGTCTTCAATGTCAGAGACTTTCACTTCTTCTCACTGTGGCTGTTTAAATGAGCCACTACAGTTGTTATTTTTGTTATTGTTAGCTGCAAATATTAAATATCCATTCATCTGCTGGTAGCAAGCTAACTAGCGCTTGCAACTCTATTCAATTTCTTACTTTTTTTCTTATAAACTTTAAAACCAGCCATATGTTAATTAAAATACATTTACCTTTGCTAATGCAGTCAATTATTGTGAAATCCATAGAGTATAATTTCATGATTGTTGCAATAACTAATGTTCTATGTGTATTCCTAATGTGTCATGTGTGTTTGAGTCTTACAGGTGTCAGACTGTGTTGAAGGTGTTCAAAGGTAAGAATCACACTCTCACACATTGATTGTTCTTCTGTATTATTATGTTGTTTTTAGAATAAACCATTATTTGGTGTATTCTCTTTGAAAACATCTATCTTTTTCTCAGATTGTTCAGCAACTCACTCAAGATGAGGGAAAAGAGCAACAAGGGGAAAATGCCCCCTCGGAAATGCAACATGTGTAGAGTAATACAGGGTAAGTAGCTTTCAGGGCTCATTTGTGTCCATGTGCAAAACAAATGCACATTTGCAATTGTTTTTTACATGGAATTACTCCAATGACCAAAGCCTTATCCCAAGTTTCTCAGACGGAGTGTCTTCCAGTGTCTCAAGCTAGTGCAGTGCCAAGGTTTGTATCACATGGTGATGGATCGAGTGGTTTGAGGCATTAATAGAAAGTTATGTGTTGTTATATCACTTTGCCACATTATGTTGAAACTAAACATGTTCCACATTTTCAGGTGCTGTGCTTGGACCTTATGAGACTGAAGACCAAGAGAGGACACATGTTGGAACCTCAACATTCAATAAATGCATTCTTCTGCCTTTCAGATTGTGTTTTTACATCTGGGGAACCTAGAGTGTAGCTTGTGCCTGTTTTAATACTGATCCAAACATAGGCGCTACAATCATGTTTTTTTACTTTGGCATGAACTGTTCAGTACAGTAGTGTTCAGTACAGTGTGCCCTGTGTGCTTTAACTTGTACTTTGATGTAGAGAAACATGATTTTTAATGCAGCTTCATTTGCAATAATGACTGATATCCTTCTACTACAGTTGTTCTAATGATTTTTGAATGCTGTGTTTATCGTTTATTGCCCAGAGTCAGAACTAAACATGATAAAGCTGCATTTCAGATTCACAAGGCTAAAATCTGGAACGGTCTTCCTGGAAATGTGAGACAGGCTTCTTCTTTGACAATGTTAAAATCCAGGTTTAAAACACTTCTGTTTCTGCTTCAACTGAGAGATTTTATGAGAGATTTTATTTGTTTCTTTTTAATTTACAGTCAATATTTATAATTGTAATGCCTTGTTTGATTGTTTCTATCTTTTGTTCAGTGCTTTGAGTTTCCTTTTGTTTTGACTGTGCTATACAAATAAACTTGCCTTGGCTATTGCAAAAAGTATGTCTCGACCAGTGAGTGATTCTGCAGAGGTCCATAGGACTGTAAATGGACGTCATATAAACGTCAATATTTTGGTCATATAAGACGTCGAGAGGACGTCGGACCCGACCGGTTCTGTACCACATTGCAACCTTGAATGAAGTGGCCGCGATGTCATTTGAACGTCCAGATAACGTCCAGATGACGTTGAAATGACATAGTTTTGACATCTGCTTGCTTAGTGGGAACAACGGAAAACGAACGTCATATGAAGGCAATATTTTGGTCATATAAGACGTTGATAGGACGTCGGACCCGACCGGTTCTGTACCACATTGCAACCTTGAATGAACGTCCAGATGACGTTGAAATGACATAGTTTTGACATCTGCTTGCTTAGTGGGAACGACTGAAAACGAACGTCATATAAACGTCAATATTTTGGTCATATGAGACGTTGATAGGACGTCGGACCCGACCGGTTCCGTACCACATACAAACCTTGAATTGACGTGCCATCAACGTAACATTTGGAGGTTGAGGTGACGTCGGGAAACGACGTCGAGAAAACTTTCATTCTGCACCCACCAGTGACCTCTATTCTACGTCGGACAACGACGTTCAAATTACGTTGATTCAACGTCGGCTTGCTTAGTGGGAAGTGACAGTGATTGGTCAGAGTGCTGCCATGAAGGAATGACCATGAATATTGGTTTGTTGTTGTTAGGTACCAGTACGATATGAAAGTGTAAGAGCAGAGCAGATAAGAGTAGTGTAGAGTAGAGTAGAGTAGAGTACAGTACAATAGAGTAGAGTAGAGTAGAGTAGAGTAAAGTACAGTAGACTAAAGTAGAGTAGAGTAGAGTAGAGTAGAGTAGAATAAAGTACAGAAGAGTAGAGTAGAGTAAAGTAGAGTAGAGTAGAGTAGAGTAGAGTAAAGTAGAGTAGAGTAGAGTAGAGTAGAGTAGAGTA